GAAGAAAAACCTCGATTCATTTTCTGTGAGAGGCCAAGACACTCATAGATAGTCCATGTGATATGACGTGCTAAAAGCATTCATCCGCTGTTAAGATTATCCTTGGCTTCCTCTTTCATGAACTACTCAAGAACTATCTGATGGTAGATTTGACTTCCTGATTTATGCTATTTACCAATCTATCATCGAATCCAATAAAGGAATCGTGGGGGAATTTCGCGTGGTCGGAATCGAACCTCTCGATATCCATCGCAAGAACAGCACTACTTGCTTCTGCTTCATACCTGCAGTGATTTTCTGTACTGTTGTAAACCTGTATGATTCCAGGGGAACAACTCGTTGTTCCTTGTGATACCACAGACTGGTGAGCTGCAAGTCACGGGGAATTTGGATCGTGAGCTGCAAGAACAGTATGAATTGGTTGTGCAGGCGAATGATTTGGGTACACCGAAGCGACTCAGTGCAACGGTAGCTGTAACTATACGGGTTCTGGATGTGAACGATCATGAGCCAGTTTTCGAACAACCACAATATTACATCGAGGTTATGGAAAACGAGCCAGTTTTGGAGAACTCAACATTGTTGTGCACAAAAGCTACGGATCTCGATGCTCCGGAATTCTCAGTGATAAGGTTATGACATGATGCAACAGCACTGAACAGAAATTCAAAGCAGATAAGAAACTAGTTTTTAAACTATCATTTTCTTGTTTTTAAACTAAAATCGTTTATTTTTTAAGACAAAGAAAGAATTTAGCTTCTGAACCCCAGAGAAAAATTACTGAAACAGCGATACAGTGAGTCTGATAGAGCAAAATTTCTCCATTTTCGACGATTCTTTTCAGTAACTAATAAATAATAAACTAGCACATGACAATAAATCAGAACCGCTCTAAGTGTGCCTTTTAAGTAACGTTCGGAATACAGGCCACAACATATAAAGCTTTCTTTTCTAGGGATTGTTGTGCCATTCGAACAATGGAGCATTAGGAATAATTATTGAGCAAAATTTTTTTGCACATGTGCTTCAGTGATAATATTTCATTTATTAGTTGATGGCGTATCAGTCAAAATTTTTGCAAGCATAGTTTAATCATGAAATCACATGCAAAATACTTAAATAAC